TTTTGGTTATTATTTCATAGTTTAAATAAATCTAGCATGATCCTATTTGATTTACATGAGATGTGATTGAATTAGTGATTAGGTGTTAGTGTAAACAGAGAACATAAGAATATTGGCTCCATTGTGAGACAAGTGTGTGAGAGAGAACGATAGTTTGACAATCATGTGATCAAGTGAGTTTTAACCTATAAATCTTAATGAGAATACAGTATGAATAATGTGTCATGAAAAATATTATAAAGTTTGATCTTTATTCTGTGATTTGAAGGTTGCTTCTAAGGGGAAACCCATTTGGGAAAACATTTTCCCCTTTGCACCAACTGGAGAGTTTCCCTGCCATAAACATGCATATTTGGCATGGATTAGATTTTTAGGACAAGAAAGAAAAAAAAAATAATGGCTTGACTATGGAGGAATTACACCCTCTTGGATGGGCAAAAAGATTCTAATAAAATTCTCATCTAATGATTTACTGGTTATGTGATAATTATCCAGTTCCACAATGGTTTCAAACAAATGTGTTTCCTAACAATTTTCCTAACAATGGGTGATTCCATTTGAAGTTGAACTTACTGAACTAATTAATTTGTGATAACTCTAATAATTTCATCTCAGCATGTGGAATAAAATGTTTAAAATGGACATGTAATGAATTAATTAGTGAATGTTTTAAAATTGATTTCCTGTGTTATTAAAACTAGGGGAGCACTGTGTAAAAATTGGAAATTAGATGTGTTTTAATATGACCATATTATAGCAGAATTCATGAAACAAAACTATAGCGCTGACTGGTGTATTATTTTGCATACGATATTAACTACAAAACGTTGAAAAATAAATTCTTGCCCTACCCAGCTAAATCAGATTGTTAATATTTCTGTTGACTAAATTATTATACAAAAGCAAATATGTATATATAAGCAACAATGCGCAATATACTACGTGAAACAAAAATATAAACCAAACCATCCCGTCAAAACATTGTTATTTATAGCAAAATAGACAAAGACGCATTCGTATATCGCAATATGAGAGAAAACATACCTTGATTACCTTCGGCAATCACGACTGGTTCGAAGCCGTATGCCTTTGTCTTGGGGCTTGTCCGCCTGGATAAAACTTGTTAAAATAACTTTAGTTTTGCTCAAACACTAAATCAACACTTCCCAATGAATAAGTTGATCACCCACGACGAATCAGGATCACTTTGGGAGCTTCTAGTCCAAGAATACGATCATTTTGACAAATAACGAACACAGACTTTGAAGAAATACAAAGACTCAAAGAGAAACAGGAACTGAGTGAGTTTTGGGCGTGGCCTCTGAGCTATATGGCTCAGCGAACTAAAGTTAGAAACCTGGAACGATATATCTAAATCATATATTTTTGAGACAACCGCTCAAATGATACCGCCTTTAAAACACTGAGGAGAGCACAGAGAAGTGAGAAACTCAGTTAAGATCGAGGTTCCGCCAATTTTGGTATATAAAAAAATGTTAAAGCATTCTTCCGTGGGTGTACCTGCGTATGAAAAAAACTTAAAGCCCCGTTGACAAGGTATCGGATTACTGTCGGACCAGGTCGAATTTTGAAGTTAATTAACGAAAGGCAGCGGTGTCCTGAATAAATATACCAAATCTATCAAATCAGGCCTAACGGCAAACAAAGATGTCGTGATGAGCGGATCTGGTACCGTGGGAACGCAGTGAAAAGTGATTGGAAGGACCACATTTTTTCCAATTGTTACGACTGGAATTCCTGGGGAGGAATGATCACAATAGCAAAATTCAAATCTGTCAGAGCCACTGTGCAGTCTTAAAACATTCTTGCAATTCGAGGCGGAAGAGAAAAACTTTCAAAACATAAAACTATCCACCTCCCTCCCTCTCTCCTCCCTCCACGATCCCTGGACGATTTTGAATATCTCACGGGTGTAATTTGAGATAGCAAAATGCATCTTGCCCGAAAAGGAGACTCCTCTTTTCTTTAGCATTTTAATAATCATCCCAGCCTCAAACTAGCTCACAAAATACATTTAAAAAGTTAACTGATCTACAGTCCGATGCTGGCAGAAAGCCAAAAATCATTTTGTCTCCACACTGTTATTTTCAGGGAGTTATTTTAACTCTCCCATTATCCTTTTTTAGTGGAGTTAAAAATTTAACTATAGTTTTGGAGTAAAAATAACTCTCTTTGAGGGGTTAATAATTTTTAGACCTTATTAACTATGCAGAATTAACTCCTTTTGGGGGAGTTAAGCAATCTAACCCTCTTTTATGAGTTATTTTGACTCACCTATTACCCTTTTTTGGGGGTGATAAAAATTCAACTCTCTTTTTGGAGTTAAATAAAATTCAAAATGGCGTGTACAAGAGGAGCGGGTTAATAGTTTATTATAAATTTTAGTCTTATAAACGTGAATTGATTTAACTCTGGAGTGAAAAAGGCGGAAAAGGCTAGTAAAAATTACGAATGTTTGTGCCACTAATATAATTTGACTTCTAAACCCTATATTTTAACTTATATCGCTTTCTTCATCCCGATGTATAAGTTTCTTCATAGGCAGCCCAAAACTTGTGTTAGTATCATGATCAGTATTGTTTGGTATTGTATTAAATTCCAATCGGTGTTAGACTCGCCCTATTCCTCTTAAACGTGTCGCGCGCCATATTGAAATACATCAATAAGTAATAAATACATAAGGTTGGCAACTTCATCTTGGATTACGAACATACCGGCCACGAAAAATTCAAAATACTTTGTTTTTAGAAATAAAACATGATAAAAAATAATAGCACATGAAACCTTGATAATACTACTATCTACTCATACCTAAAATGAGTTTCAACATTGTCGGAAAGTTGAGAAATTTGCACATATTTGCGGTGCTTCGGCGGAAATTTTTTCTTCTCCATGCGGGATGCCAAAGGTTGGCGTATTCGCCATATTTTAAAAAAAATATCGATGATCCAATTGGTCGAAAAAATAGACAGTTTATGACGTTTCTTGCAGTGAAAATGGGCCAACAGGGGGGGGGGGGAAACACAGGAACAAGATTTTTGTAGATGAAATGCAAAACAAAATTATCTGTATAGCATCTCTTGTCGATTACATTGCGAAAAAGTACCGAGCGTATACAACTTTGTTAGTCACTGTAATACAGTTCAAAAGGAAAAATGTGAACCGGAAAATTCGGTAAAAAAAATTCAGGTATGTTTATACTATTATTTACTGAATATTATCACATTTAAAAACAATTTAAAAACATTTAATAGACATGTAGTTGCGACACCGAAACGCAAAGCCGACGCAATTTTCCCGTTCGTAAACGGTCTTTGCCATCCCTTACGGTCTTTGCCATCCCTGATCGAGTTGCATCTCGGGAGCTCGCGAGATCTCGCCACGCGCTACAGCGCGCGCTTGCACGAAGGCAAGAAAATTCGAATATTTTTCGTCGAATTTGAATCAATAGAAGGTCGAAGGTTGTGTTTGTTTTTTGAAAACGGTATGGCTGCATCAAACGGAGAAGCTTTGAGATCTTTGAAAAGAACAACCGGATGGAATGAATTTTACAGAGAAGTTGCGGTAAGTGCTTTTAATATTGTGCTTTTATTGATTCATTTGTTAAGACATGCTAAGCGTATACGTACTAATGAATATATTTATATGGCTGAGCACGTGGTCATTAGATAGGCATATAAACACGATGAAAAATGGAGAATATTATTAAACAGTTTCCTCTTCCGATGACCATTCATCTTGGAATTATTTCGAAGTAAACCACGTCAGTTTGAGTGGTCTAATATGTTGAGAATCCGCATCACATTGTGTATATATTAAATGTTTATATTATATGAAATTATTCATGTAATATATATTAATTTTTGAAATTCTGTAATAGCCATCAATAAAGTCAAGACTTGAAGTCGATGCAAATCACTCCAGCGTCTGGTGTCGTGTTGGCATCTGTAGTAATGCTGGGTGGAATAACCCTTCGTTTCTTTCTTCTTTGCTCTAACTTTGAGAGTTACATTGTTGAGGGCTTGAAATTCGGCAAGCCATCCCTTTAAATCATCCGACGAAAAATTATCTTTAGTTACCTTCAACTTAAACTGTGATTCAGTACCATAACATTCATTGACTTTGTAAAGGTAATCCTCGGGAAGCTTTTCCAAAATAGCACTCTCGAATTTCTGCTTTTCTTCTTGTGTCTGTTTCTTACAATGGAAACGGTGGTCGACTTTCTTTAACGCGTTCTCTAGTAAATCATCAAAGCCCTCTAAGTTTATGCTTGCCGCCATTTATTTTTCACTCAAAAATATAAAAATTTCCACGAACACGGGCAATGATGCAAGCGCGCGCTGTAGCGCGTGGCGAGATCTCGCGAGCTCCCGAGATGCAACTCGAGCAGGGATGGCAAAGACCGTAAGGGATGGCAAAGACCGTTTACGAACGGGAAAATTGCGTCGGCGAGATCTTCCTCATTGAAAGCTAGGATCCTCCTCGTATGGAAGTGACCAGAGATTTTCCACCCTGCAGATCTACACAAAATGTGCTGTTCTAAAGCTATTTGGAAAGCTATTTTGCTCCAAACCCATTGTCGATATGACTATTAACAGTCTTCTACTGCAAACTACGGAATGGCTAATCTTGGGGACGTGAACAAAAACCTGATTTTCGTAAAGAAAAAAAGAAAATAATTTTAGCGATCGTATTTATTAGGTTCAATGATTTCACATTCGCTTCACTGATGCAGACATTTCACACAAAATGTTTTTGAGTTACTACAGTCAAAATCAACCCTGTACAGTTTGCCTACTTGTTCCGTGGCCTTCTCTAGCCATAAACTTTGAACCTATGGTTGGTCCTCCTTTGAACCGATTGAATTTTTGATAAAAAAAGGCGCCAACAACATCATAACTAATATCAACATTAACCATTCACCATCTCCGTTATTGCTATCGTAAAAAAACAATTGTTGTTTAAATATCAATCCTGAATCAATCGTGGCATTTTCTCTTCTCTATATCTAGATCTTCTATTAAACAATCTATATCTCCGGATTTACAAAGTTTTGCGAATACTGCTTCACGTTTAATATCGTCCAACAAAGAATTTGGTGGAATACACAGTCGAAGAAACATCATATCGCCTTTCTGGTTAGGAAAAGACAGCATGTTTTCCTTTGGAGAAAATTTTGTTTGCGGTGCTGCACTAGCTGTTAAGTATCGCTGAAAGGAACTGTCGATAATTGTTCCAGAATCCATGTCGAAAAATAGTATGAAGAAACGGTGCAATGCAATAACAACTTTGTCCTTATTAACACAATACAACTTTGGAGCGGGACAAATACAATCAAAAAACATTTTTTTGGATTCGAGGGTATCCAGATCAATTACTTTAAAACCCTCATGGTATAGCCCGCATACGACAACGGCTTTTGAATCATTGCTGAAGCAACACGAGAATTCCTCTCTACAATATCCAGTATAATATGGTTCATACGTGTTCTCGAAAATTAAGTCATATAAAACGGAGTTTTCGGCACTCCTTTTCCAGATATAATAACTTGAATTATTACAACCGAAGACAAAGGTACCACCCTGAGAAATTGTAACTTTCATCATAGGCTCAAGGAAAGGTAACATGATTATTGCCGGACCGTCTACTCCTGTGACATCCACAATCTTTACAGGTTCTGTCTTTCCGCACTCGAAGGTAAGAAAGCCTTGAGAAAAATCAACGACTGTCAATCGCCGCTCTAACTCGTTCACAAGATGACTTAGCGACACTTGCTGACTCTGTGTGAACAGAATCTTTAAATTGATATCCACGGGATATAGCGTTAATCGGGGAATCGTGCCAAGGAAATCAAACACAAACAAGAACTCTTTTGACCACCAGCAAGCACATGACGATTCGCTGTCGTTGCTCTTGAAACGTTGTTCAACTTGGCTGGTATAGACATTCCATACGTTGATATATCCATCTGAGTTGCAGGATGCAAGTCGAGAGCCGTCAGGAGAAAACGAACTCGAATAAACCTCCGTTGGCTGTGACAGACAGGATTGCTCTTGTGTATGAGGTGTTGTCTCCAAGGCAATAAGTTTTTCAGTATCTGCATAGAGCCACAGATTATCCTGAATAGCTTCTATCATTGTTAATTTTCTCATGAAATGGCACTCCGCATAATCGACGACTCCTACCGGCTTTTTAGGTGAAACATTTCGTGGGAGGCATGGTTTGAGATCTAATCTATTCAATGAATTCAAATCTGTAAATCTTGATGGAGAAGAACGTTCATATTTTGCATTTTGAAATACGCGCTGATCACTCCTTTGCAACGTAATGGCGTTCCAAGCACAAAACGAATCTTCATCGTCTGGTATACAAAATGAATTGGCTACGTCGTATTTAAAATCCGGCTTGCTGAAAGGGTCGTGTTTTTTGCACTTTTGCCCTAAAACATATAACCCTGTCATGGTGAAAGCACACCAGTAAACAGGGAATGCTGCATCAAGTTCCGCGAGTAATCTTTGCTTAGCAATGTCCCATAGTTTAATGGTGTTTGAGCCGTTGCTAGTTACCAGCCGCTTGCCACTAGAAGAAAAAGCACAGGACAGGAACGTCTCTTCATTTCCAGGGAAAAATGGAACTTCCTTTCTTTCAGAAATGTTAAGTGCCGTGTCCAGTTTACCAAATAATATGAACGAGTCGTCCGGGGCAAACGTACAGCATGAACTTCTTTCGCATTTCGTTGAATAATTCCAAATCTCTTTTAAAGTTATCGAGGATAGCACACTTATTATTCCATTATCTTGCCCAACAGTTATTATTGTTTTATCGCATGACAAAGCAATAGCAGTAATCTTGAGGTCAGTATGGGTACACCAAATTGCGCGCGGCAAAACTGATATTTCATAAGAACTTAACTTAATAAACTGCGCGGGGACGCTTGACAGTAGTGACTCTGCAACTTTCTTTTCACCGTCATTGAAATAACCTTTTGGGGAATGTGCAAGAACAGATTCTAAATGGAATCGTGAAAGGTTCAATGTATCGCTTAAGTAGCAATCCATTATAGAGTTAAATTCAATGAAATACCATAAAATTCGTGCTCGAAACTCATCCTTTATAACCTCAAAATTCTCTAGAACTCCTTTCCAGATGGACACCAATATTCTTTGAATTGAATACTCGTAGTGCAGAGTTATGAGATGATGTATGATTACAACATCTGTTAGCCAAAATATACCCTCCTCCATACGGCATTCTACCAGATGCTCAAAACCGTGTAACAGAGCGTATTCTACTTCTGTAGTAAAGCGCAACTCAAGGCCAGAGTGAACCTGTTTCACGATTTTCTCAAAAACCGTTTCGCATAAAAGCCAAAGCGATCTATGTCCATAATCGATCTCGACAGTATACTGGTGATCTTTGTAGCCCTTCGCTAGAAGCCAATCAAAAACGGATTTGTGAAAAACGGTTAACATGTCATCTGAAACGTACAACAAGCACGATATGGTTTCATTAATTTTGTTGATGATGTCTTTCGTTTCGCGACAATCTGGAGCTAAACCAAAAACCTGAGCGACGAAAGTGAGGGGGAGAGATCCTTTGGAAGCAGTCAGCATTGCCAAAATTTTCAACACATTAAACTTTTCATGTTTTATGGCGTTAAGCTCGTCTTCAAGGCGTTTGAAATATCCTTGGTAAACAGAATTAAGTCCTTGTGGGAGAAACTCTATGACGTCATTATTTGTTATCTTCTCAAGATCATAGCGAGCCCTTAGCCCAGATTGAAAGTGATATGCATAGAGAAATGAGCCCTGGCATTTGGCAACAAAAATGGAAAGTAAACTAATAGTTTTATTTCGCCAAAGATATGGATGATCTTCGTAGAAATCATCGCTCATCTCACTTCCATCCACTTCCCTGCCGACTAAACTTGGAAAACATTCTTCAAAATAAAGTTCCAGATCTGAGTTATTGTTGTAATGAACATTGGAAATGTCTGTCTTTTGATCGCCTCTTATTCTTAGATCAGCAACGGAAATCTCTGGCCTGCTCGTCACCAAGATTTTTATGTACTCGGGAAGATCAGGAAAATATTCAGCAATCAAATGCGCAATTTCATTCTTATTATCAGCAGCACTTTCATCCAAGCCATCGATCACGACTAAACGTGGCTCTTTTATTTCCAATTCATCTAAGGGATTTTGCAAATATATTTGAAAGGCATCTTTCAGGTTTTGAACTTGATGAGGTCGCTTTAACTGATCAAGAAGCTTGTCTTTAAAACCAGGGACGCTCTCGCACATCTGACTTGCGAGAGACTGCAGCATCGTCATCGGATCTCTTAGGTTTGAATTGCTGAAATCACAAAAGTGACAAGCAGCCAGCTTTCCATTCTTCTCAAAATCTTCACAGATTTTAGCGGCAAACACGCTTTTACCAAACCCTGGTCCAGCTGTTAATAACTTTATTCTTGAGTCACTCTCACTGTTACAAAACCACTCGTCAACTTCTTTTAACAACCACTCTCTCGTTCCAGGTAGGAAAAATTTCACTTTTCTTTTAATTTTATTTTGAAATTATGCTTTGCAAGTTTTCGCAAGATATCTTCATCACTTTCTCGGCGATTTTCCTCCAAAGCTCGGGTCAGATGATCTAAAATGCATTCAATACTTCTCAACTGTTTCAGGATTTCGACATAATTTTCATCCTCAGGCCCCAATGATGAAGTTTTTATTTCGTCGACATCACTCTGTGAAACGCCCAATTCTACTATCGCCTGGGCAATTTTGTTCCATAAAGACTCAAATGTTGAATTGTCAACTCGAGTGGTTGTTACATGTGCGAAAACTTCATTTCTGTAACACTTGATTCTTGTGATATTCGCTTGCATTGACCTATCAGTATCCGGAGGCATTACACTCCATCCTGTTGATGGAAAACCACAAATGTTCCGGAATAGAACTGTAAGTAATGTGACATCAAAGGTTTTGGAATCTGGTGGGTTGCCAGACGGAGGAAACAGTAAATCCCACTGGGAATTGTTAATAACTCGAGTCTTTTGAAGAGATGTTTTGTTTGCAGCCAGTACTCCGGGCAGACTAACAGGTGGATGGATGGTATCAAATGTACTTCTCAAAGCCTCAGTTCCTTTGTCAACCAAAAGTCTACTGAGTCTTGTAAAATTTGCTTTTTCTTGCAGTTCGTCAGAAGCCATGGCATTAGACACGGTTAATTACTGTAACAAAATGGTTGTATTAATTATATAGGCTACACCGAGAAGTCCCAAGGATCTTGTTAAACGAAGGGATTTCTTGTGAAAATAATTTTGTGAAGAGACATATGTTTTAGGAGTAACGTTTCTGACTTGCTACCACCCATATGACAAACTCACATGAACTTAATTTTAGAATTTCCAGTAAACGTTTCGTCTTTCTTATAGTGTGCGGAAATATGATTTCCCTTGATATTATATTACATGGAATAAGCTAAATGTATTTTGATGCCAAATAATTTATGAAAATATCTCGTGTATTTAAGATCTATTGCTACTCGATTTTTTTCATTTCCGATTGTAAACTGTCGTTGAAGTCTGTTTATAAATTTCATTTAGCTCGTGTGATAATTTTGAAAAGCTGTTTCAGCAAACTCTCGATCATTTATTTTTACAAATAACACTTCGTAAGACATTTCCCTTCTCAGACTAGCGGCTGTGCCTCCTAAGTATATAACCAGTTAAGCTAGATTATTATATTTTCGTAAGTCTATGCAGTACTATTAGGCTTATTAAAATAAAACTGTATTGATCGATCCTTAGTCTCAGAACAACTAATCTGCCTTATTTGCTGTTTAGTGTTTGATAATTGTCATGTTTCAGCCCCTGAGCCTCGCAATCGTGTTATAAATTATTTCTATATTTGTTACCAGTTCATTTAACATGACGTCACAGCTCTGTATTGTGCCACTCAATAGAATACAATAGACACTCATACTGTTAATATTTGAAGAACGTAATGACGTCACAGCTCTGTACAGCGCCACTCAATAGAATACAATAGACACTCATACTATTAATATTCGAGGAACGTAATGACGTCACAGCTCTGTACTATGCCACTCAATAGAATACAATAGACACTCATACTGTTAATATTCGAAGAACGTAATGACGTCACAGCTCTGTACTGTGCCACTCAATAGAATACAATAGACACTCATACTGTTAATATTCGAAGAACGTAATCACGTCACAGCTCTGTACTGTGTCACTCAATAGAATACAATAGACACTCATACTGTTAATATTCAAAGAACGAAATGACGTCACAGCTCTGTACTGTGCCACTCAATAGAATACAATAGACACTCATACTGTTAATATTCGAAGAACGTAATGACGTCACAGCTCTGTACTGTGCCACTCAATAGAATACAATAGACACTCATACTGTTAATATTCGAAGAACGTAATGACGTCACAGCTCTGTACAGCGCCACTCAATAGAATACAATAGACACTCATACTGTTAATATTCGAAGAACGTAATGACGTCACAGCTCTGTACTATGCCACTCAATAGAATACAATAGACACTCATACTGTTAATATTCGAAGAACGTAATGACGTCACAGCTCTGTACTGTGCCACTCAATAGAATACAATAGACACTCATACTGTTAATATTCGAAGAACGTAATGACGTCACAGCTCTGTACAGTGCCACTCAATAGAATACAATAGACACTCATACTGTTAATATTCGAAGAACGTAATGACGTCACAGCTCTGTACTATGCCACTCAATAGAATACAATAGACACTCATACTGTTAATATTCGAAGAACGTAATGACGTCACAGCTCTGTACTGTGCCACTCAATAGAATACAATAGACACTCATACTGTTAATATTCGAAGAACGTAACCAACACTGACACAAACGTACCTTCTCAAATCTTCAAAGCGATGATTGCACTACATGGTCAAAATTCCCAGGAAAGATAACGGACAGATGGACTGAAATGTAGATTTAAAACCTAGAAAGAACAAATTCTGATTGTAACTTTAACCCACCCAATCAGCGGCTAGAATGTCATGTGAGTGTCACGTGGGATGCGTATTTATAATGGTAATTGCACTGAGTGGAGCGCTCATGCGTCATTACCAAAAATCGCACGACCACGAAGCGGGAGACCGTATTTATATTTCAGATCGTATACAAACCCTCAATTTTGTTTGATAGAATTAATATTATTATTACTGTTTACTAAAACAAATCACTTCGCAGCCCTAAAGTTGAAATACATATGATTTTCGCAAAGAAATAAAAAGTAGGTATCATATTAAGAATGTATTTATAATTTATAGCAAACATTTTAATACCTAGTTTAACTGTGGTTATATAAAAACTAACTATACATTCTGCTCGGTCATAGAATAAAAAACATTAAAATTTAGCATCATTCTTAATTCTAAGATTTGTTATAGTATAAGTTTTCTTAAATCTGTTGTCGTTGCATCTTGGAATCATGAAACAGTTTTGATTTTTAAGGTTGTAAGTTTGTGGATATTTCGCAGATAAATAATAACGTGGAAAACCCACTCATTTCATTATTTCCCATTCTCCCAAACTCCCACGCGTGTTTCTATAACTGTATACATCACAGAAACATCACAGAACTTTACTCCCGTATATATAACCAACATCATCTGTTTCAGCCTCGTATCGTGGCCATTTAAGGAGACAAAACTAAATGAATACCGTCATTTTATAATAAGAATAATAGCTTCTTATTAACCGAGCGCGAGGTCTTTACCGAGAAATATCGGACCGAGGTCTTTTTGAACAGACCGAGCTCGAAGAGCGAGGTTTGTACAAAAAGATTGAAGTCCGATAATTCTCGGTAAAGACCGAGCAAGCAAGGTTAATAAAAAGTTTATTATATGGCATAAGGCATGTATTTTCACTTGAAACAAACAAGAAATACATGAATTCTTATTAGTAGCCTGGTACGCATTTGATAAAAACAAAAACATAATATTTCTATTATTGAATTATTTAGTTTACCTAAACTGTCTGGAGACGTCTTATTTATTTCAAAATCAATTATATACGTCATCAGTCTACGTCACTACGGAGTACCATGAGAAGCACGCGCTCGCTTTCCTAGCCATTGTGCACACGCTTTCTTAGCCGCAACATCAAATTCTTCCATCGCTGAGGATTTGTTAAACAACTTCGCATCATTCAAGCTTACTCTTCTACCAAGACTTATATCGCTTGGTTACGTGAGTAACGTAGAGTAATTTGGTAATGGTTTATTAGTTAGTCCTTTTCAGGCTTTATTTCACAATTTAGCTTTTCGCGGGATAAGTCGGATAACACAAAATATTACCATGAATCCGACCAACAGTGATACTCAATCTTCTCATGAATGACTTTAGGTCAACCTGATCATGTTAACTGCCCAACAGGCCAGGCCACCGGCATTACTCTTGGTGATGATTTGGCTAAACAAGTGAGAGATGCCAAAGAAACGAGTAATATAAGCCTAACCCTTGGCGCTAGCCGAAATAGACAAGCCCGGACCAACCGTCCAACATATCGACCCGATAATCGTTTCACTAATTCTCGTCCACCGAGAAACAACAATTCTGACTATCGGGCTGACAACAACAGGCATCATTTTTTGGGGATGGGCCAGAAAAAAACGATGTTCAAAAACAAACCCGGCAGGTAATCCTGAGTACTCTCAAACATATTAAAATATCGGTAAGTCAATTTCCGCTTAATTTTGACCGTTTAACAAACTACTTACTAAAGACTTATTGTAAATCCTTAACCAATAGCCATATTCGTGTCTAACTTGATAACACGACCAAAATCGCAGTAATTAACCATATGGGTACTAGTCTCTGCCCAAATTGCAACACTCTGGGTAAACGTATCTGGGAATGGTGTATCGGCCGAACTATTTGGCTAACTGCTGCTCATATACCAGGAGCTGACAATACTATACCTAACTCTGAATCACGCAGCACTTGTACTCATACTGAATGGATGATTGACAGCTCAATCCTTAAGGGTGTTTTCACCCACTTTGGATCCCAACCAAACATTGATATTTTTGCATCACGCCTTAATACTCAATTTCCTACCTAATGTGTCATACCAACCTGACCCAGGTGCAATGGCGGTAGATGCATTCACACTTAACCTGGCTAAATTCCAGTTCTATGCCTTCCCTCCATTTAGTGTCATAGCCGCATTACTGCAAAAAATCCAGGAAGAATGAGCGACGGGGGTAGTGATAGTGCCAGACTCTGGCCAACACAACCCTGGTACGCCAAAGCCATGCAAATGTGCCGACAACCTCCAGCACGCGTGGGTCCGGGGAGAAACCTGTTGAAATTGCCCGGCCAACCTCGGGAGTTACACCCCCTACACAAGTCGCTGGTGCTGCTAGTCTGCCGCTTATCCGGCAACAGCTAATTTCCCAAGGGTTATCGGATGCAACAGTTAATATTATAATGGCGTCATGGCGCCAGGCAACAGGGAAACAATACCAGTGTTATCTTTTAAAATGGATTAGATTTTGCAAAGACAATGATATAAATATTGAACGAGCCAACATGCAGGATGGGCTCGAATTTCTTATATTCTTATACAAACAAGGAGTAGGCTACAGTGTCATTAGCACAGCGCGGTCTGCACTATCTGCAGTGATAACTCCGAATAGCGAGCGAACGTTCGGCGAACACCCTTTGGTGAGCCGATTTCTCAAAGGTATATTCGAGCTTAAACCATCCCTCCCCCGATATTCGATTGTGTGGGACGTGACCACAGTTCTTAAATACATGCAGTCCCTGCCTGCCATGGAGGAGCTACCTCTATCAATATTGACGAAAAAATTAACAACTTTATTGGCTCTTTTAACTGCACAACGATGCCAAACCTTATCCAGCTTAGACCTCGATTTCATGCAGGAAACTGATGATGGAATTATATTTACAATACGCGAGAAACTAAAAACCACGAAGGCGGGAAAACACCTCCCGCCTATCAAGGTTAAAAGCTATTCCGAGGACATCCGCCTCTGCCCTGTAGCCCATATTAAACACTATATTATTAAAACTAAACCTATGAGAGCTGATTCCAAATTGCTACTAAGTTACGTCAAACCATTTAAACCGGTTACAAATTCCACAATTGGTCATTGGGTCAAACGTGTCCTCCAAGGCTCAGGCATCGACATAAACAATTTCTCAGCTCACAGTAGTCGGACGGCGTCGTCGTCTTACGGATTCCTATCTGGGTTGTCCCTTAAGGACGTACTCAAAGCTGGCGGTTGGACAAATGCAGAAACATTTGTCAAACATTAAAATAAACCAATCTTCTCTAATTTTGGAAACAGCATACTTGATCACTTTAATAGCGAGGACAACAATGATCGCGAATGACTTATATATCTTGTATAGCTCTGATAATAAACTATTAAGACGGTGTATCAAACACTGAGATGGTTGGGATTCACTTTCATCTTGCAACTCGCTGACCCTCATATCTTTCAATTCTCATGCTTCTTCGTAGCGACGTAGACTGATGACGTATATAATTTGAAAATTAAACGAGACTTAGGGGCTGTTTACATGAGCCCGGTAACCCGAGATTGAACGAAGCGTGAGAGGACTTTGACGTATTGAAATAAGTCTTTATGACACCAAAAAAGCACATGCTATTGTTGTGGTGTTTATACGCCTGCCAGGATCATGTTATCTGCTCATTTCAATATCTCAAAATCATCTCACGCTTCGTTGAATCTCAGGTGACCGGGCTCATGTAAACAGCCCCTTAGCTACCTGTAAGTTGAAGTTTGATTTGAATTATATAACGTCATCAGTCCTGAACGAAGAAGTAACATGTCCTTCCTTCATTGTGGAGAGTTGTCCCTCCCGATACTTCTTCGTTACGTGTGAGGATCAGCGAGTTGGCTGTCTTTAAAATATGGCTAGGAAAGCGAGCGCGTGTTTCTCATGTTACTCTTTCGTTCAGGACTGATGACGTTATATAATTCAAATCAAACTTCAACTAAAAATGTTTTCTGGTTAATACCCTGTATTTATAACAGAAGGATGATGCGTCTCTTTAGTCACACGAGGGTCTTAAACTGCAGTCTGAAAATGTGTTGCATCATATAACATCATATTATCGATAACATCATATTATTCTGGAGATGAGTTAACAATTTTGGGGTTACGTGCGCATGAAAAAGGCTTAAAGCTGTTCACACTGTATTACCATTGGATTACCATCAGGTCAAATTTTGAAGCTCGTGAGAAACAGCGGTGTTTTCTAATATCTGAGCCTTGAATATATACTAAATCTATCAAATTAATAAGCATTTACTAATAATCGTTGCTTCATACGTATAACGTATGTACGTATATATATATATATATATATATATATATATATATATATATTATATATATATATATATATATATATATATATATATATATATATATATATATATATATATATATATATATGCATAATTATATATGTCAATGGTTGTAATATGTTATTATGTTTTCGTTGCTGATCAGGCTTCCCTCATTGCGGGCTATTCTTAGCCCAGAGTCAGGCGTTGTTTTGATTTTTTGTTTTCTAATTGGCCCATTTTTATCATGTGTTTTGCCCCCATACAAAACATGTATTCTCCCCTATTTACTTTCATTCTAACTCTCCTGACAAAGGACCTCAGGTCCTCACGTCGAAACGTTGAGAAGTGTTTTGTCTATTCCAGTCATCCAGTGAACATATACAGATCATTTAAAGTAACTTTTTTAAAATTAATATTCAAAAATGGGTTTTCCCGGACGTGATTGAAGTCGCAAGTGCAGCACCTTGTCACACAAATTATTTTGCAAATACAGTAGTATGTTAGTTCTCATGCACATGCAAGAATCATTTAAAAGTTTTATGAATACTGTCTGAATAACACTGTTAGGAAATCAGAGTTTTATGAGACTTTTAATTTTATCACCTCTGGATCAGACAGTTTACATATGGTTTGATTTTTTCAGTTATTATTATTAGATTATTTTGGTTATTAATTATTTCATAGTTTAAATAAATTTAGCATGATCCTATTTGATTTGCATGAAATGTGATTGAATTAGTGATTAGGTGTTAGTGTAAACAGAGAAGATAAGAATATTGGGTCCATTGTGAGACAAGTGTGCGAGAGAGAACGATAGTTTGACAATCAGTGGAGATCGACTCTTCAGGTACTGTGAGTAGTGATTAAGTTTGTTTCTATAATAGTTTAACTGTAATCTAATCAGAATCCAATCAATTTAGAATTTACAATATATTATGTCTGAAAAATCTCCATTGGATTGTGTTTGATTTCACCCAATTGATATAAAATATATTGTTTGACCTGTGTGATCAAGCGAGTTTTAATCTATAAATCTTAATGAGAAAACAGTATGAATAATGTGTCATGAAAAATATTATAAAATTTGATCTTTATTCTGTGATTTGAAGGTTGCTTCTAAGGGGAAACCCATTTGGGAAAACATTTTCCCCTTTGCACTAACCGGGGAGTTCTCCTGCCATATACATGCATATTTGGCATGGATTAGATTTCTTTAAAGGACAAAAAATAACAGTTTGACTATGCAGGATTGGATAGGCAAACAGATTGTCAGATTCTAATAAAGTTCTCATCCAATGATTTACTGCTTATGTGATAATTATCCAGTTCCACGCTGGTTTCAACCAAATAGGTTTTCTAACAATTTTCCTAACAATTGGTGATTTCATTTGAAGTTGAACTTACTGAACTAACTGATTTGTGATAACTCTAATAATTTTATCTCAGCAGGTGGAATAAAATGTTTAAAATGGACATGTAAAAAATGAATGAAATGATGATATTCCTCCTAAAAGATATTTCTGGTCTCTGGGTCTAAATGAATTAGTGAATGTTTTAAAATTGATTTCCTGTATTAAAACTAGGGGAGCAGAGCACTGTATAAATTGAAAATTAGATGTGTTTTAATAAGCACCACTTAATAGCAGAACTGATGAAATAAAACTATAGTCCTGACTGGTGTATTACTTTGCATACGATATTAAGTACAAAACGTTGAAAAATAAATTCTTCCCGTACCCAGCAAAATCAGATTGTGAATATTTCTGTTGACTAAGCAATATATATACATATATACATAAGCAACAATGTGTGCAATATACTACGTGAAACACCAATATAAACCAAACCATCCCGTCAAAACATTGTAATTTATAGCAAAATTGACAAAGACGCATTCGTATATCGCAATATGAGAAAAAACATACCTTGATTTAATACCTTCGGCAATCTGGTCTTGTTTATGTAGTGTATATTTATACCACGACTGGTCCGAAGCCGTATGTCTTTGTACTTGGGCTTGTCTGCCTCGATAAAGCTTGTTAAAACAACTTTAGTTTTGCTCAAACACTAAATCAACACTTCCCCAATGAATAAGTTGATCATCCACGACGAATCAGGTCACTTCGGGAGCTTCTAGTCCAAGAATACGATCATTTTGAGAAATAACGAACACAGACTTTGAAGAAATACAAAGACTCGAAGAGAAACAGGAACTGGGTGAGGTTTTGGGTGCGGCCACTGAGCTATATGGCTCAGCGAACTAAAGTTAGAAACCTGGAACGATATATCTAAACTAGGTTACCTGCAAGGTAGGGATTGCTGCGGGCATTAAAAACAAATTGAACCAAATATCATATAAGAACAGGATTGGCAAAACTATACAATTGTTAAAAAAATATTACAAAAGCGTTAAAATTTGTGAAATATGTGTCACACGATCACGTCGCAACTAATTTAACAAAGGACGTGTTATGGTGAAATTTTTCTTGCAACTTGGAATTCTGCTTGTAATCAGTAAAGTCAATGAAGATATGCCATATGGATTGGAAAAATATCAACGCAAAACACGTACTTTGGCATTTTACATTTCTCAAGAGTAGAGTTGTATTGCAAGTTGCAAAAAAATTGCATCGTGTAACAGGGCCTGAACTAAACTCTAAAGTTAACAAAATAAGAATGTAAGTGACTCCTTCTGCAGGGTAATCCACCTTTGATGTATTCGGCGACCCTTCGGCATCGTCGTCTTGCCTTAAATAGTTCAAAGAATTGCTATACTCGTTTGCTGTATTTTCGTATATGGCAGATTGCCCAGACCCACTATGACGATGAAACACGAGGCTCAATGACAAAGATGTAAAAATAAACTTGGATTATCAAACTAAACTGTGGTCTATAACAATAAGATAAAATAGGAAATACTATCAAGCGCAAAGGTGCAAATGAAATCGAAGATATAATCAGTTCCTTCAAAGAATTGCTACTCATTTACTGTATTTACATGCGGCAAGCGACAACGAAACACGAGCCGCAATGACAAATATGTAAAACATAACACTTGGATTTTTAATTTTAAACACTAAATTGCCGCTTTTACTAAGCTTTTTACTCCTAGTAAACGTCACACTGAATTAAGCGTAGTACCGTAGTGCAATGAAACCATTGGCAGCCCAATTATGTATGCATGTTTATATACTATATATATTATATAATATATATAGTAAACTATATAAACATGCATACATAATTGGGCTGCCTATGATGAAACCGAGAATAGCTACAAACAGTTTAATCAGTTCGAAAAAATGAAATTCGAATACGGCAGACTGCCCAGGCTAATTACCAACAGCCACCACCACAATAACAGTTGGTTTAAAAGTCACTAGGCTGAAAAAAAACTTTAGAAAACATTCAAGTTTTTCTTAACATTAAAATAAATACATCAAAAATGAGTACTTAAATCTTAAAAACTCAAAGTAGAATTTAACAAATGATACAATACCCATACCTGTATGCCTAATCCAAAAAATGGCCTATCCAGTAAAGCCTAACAAAAAATTCCTGTGGTCCCCTTATTTTTTCTGCAAACCCTACTGTTTCTTTGACATGCTTAAGCTGTTTGATTACTGACCCTATTTTTTTGCTGGTTGTCTATTGCTGATTGCCCATTGTTGATTGCCCAGATATTGATTCTTGAAGTGTTTATGCATTGTGGCTACCTTAATCTATCACAGCTTACTGACCTTTAAGACAATTTACTGATTTTTTTTCATAATGAGAAACTGAAACCACAGGATTTTTTTGTAAAAATTTGATGAGTGACACATGGCTTCACACGCAGCAATGCGTCATGTAACTTTGTATGAAGTAAACATGTTTATTTAATTATTTACTTGATTTTGGATTAGGTATGGTTAGGATACTCATGTATATAACCAAACCATAACTAGAAAGTTTTCAAACAGTTAATTTTTGAAATAGTTCAAACTGTTCAATAATAGTTCAATAAGTATTGCTATATGTTTACCTCAATTTAGTTTCATCATCTCGCAATAATTATTGCATTGATGCTCTGACATAAATGTCTCAATGCCAACAATGGAGCAATTGCCGCAACAAAAGTAAACTTCATGACGTTCTTGATCCATAATTTCTTCAGTTGCAATTTCTGGGTCATACAGTGTGGACTCAGATCCCTGAATATCAAGCAGCATGAGTTTGTGATCAGTAATTACATAGCTATAGTGAACCAGACATTGCGCTTTCGCATATAAATCCTTAAGAACCTGGGTGGCATCATCTGGAATAGAAACACACTTTCCGTTGTTGTTAATATACTTTACAAAGTCGCCTGAAACATATTCTTCGATCGTGGCGTGCTGGCCATCAAAATTTGTATAGTAGCACCGATTGTAGCGGAAACACTGCCCAAATTCAGAAGGTGCTTTCCTCTCAAATTTGCTGGCAATGTGTCTTGCCGCTGTGTGCATCTGGACTTGTTTTCTGCAGTGATCTTCCACAGATGACTTTACTGTATCAATTATTGTGGTTTTTGCCTTCTGGTTATAGGTCTTAATAACCCACTTCTCCCCATGCATGGTGGTAACATGGAAGGCATCTCGAAATGCACCAGAAGAAAATTTTTGACACTCTACTTCACATTCAACATTCATTGCATTCTTCCATGCACCTGATTCAATATCAAATTTTTCAAAGTTTAGTACAGCCTTTTTTGAAAATCTTGGTTGCACTAGTTTTCCTGCATTTAGTAACGTCTCAATTGATACTGATGCAGGAAACTGGGTTTCGGGGATACTTGGCTTTGGGCATACAGGAGGGTCATCCACGCTCCATACCTGCCTCTTGTGATGACCAGGTAATGGTAAACTTTTTGAGCTACTGCTACTTTTTTCCCATGGCAATTCTGAATTCTCTTCTTGCTCTTGAAGAACCACAAACCTCACCAGGTAAACCTATTGAAAAGAGAGAATTTTGTTCACATAACGTAAAAATGTTATTGTAGAAGAGAGTCAGTGAAGTTGGAGGGAGGGTAAATTAAGTTATAAAAAAAGGGGAAATTGTAACTTGAATTATCCTAAATCTTTTAATAAAATTGGACTTTAAGTCTATAACAACGTGAACATTATTTTGGGGGTGAAGATTCTTGTCGAACACATTGTATTTGGTTAATTAGGAGGTAATGCAAAGCTTCATCCCTAACAATTTCTCCATCCAGACCACCACCAACAACAGTCTATTAATGGCAATTAATAAGTATCTTTGGGTTGGATGTTCTTTACAAAATTCATACTGTAACTATTAAACTGCCTATATTATATATAACTAATATAAAGCCAATGATATGAGTGTGTGAGGTGACCTCCCCAAGGAACTGCTTTTGACTCCCAAGAATGGCATAAAGTGAGCCTACAATATGGTCAATTTCCAATCTGAAATTATTAACAAAGTTAATCTTGGCAATCCTAACACTAATGCTATTTGTAATTCTAACCAGAATCCTAATCATAAACCTTATTGAATATTGGCCCTAATAATACTTAATTTCAGATAAGTAATATGGGAAGTCACCTGTATTGTTAATCTAGTATTTGGGGCCTCCTTTTCTGAAATAGAACAAGGTGCATTGTGCGTGATTGTGGTATTGTTTGGTACAAAATACTTAATTCATCATGTTTTATATGGAGTTGTTTGCACTGAAGCTAGACCAGAATGCACCTTGTTCTATTTTAAAAAAGGCCTGTGTGGCACCTGTCAAAAGTAATTCTATATTTGCTGATCAAGAAATTGAAGAATAAAAGGAAAAAACATAGCTATACCGCAGCAGCATAAAAATGAAGCTTTAATAAATACCTTGTCTTTTCGGTGAGGGATCTGTGCTATATTCGAGCACGATGGTCCTTTATTTGAGACCAAAATATCACATGTGCTAACTGGCAGGTTAAAATGGGCAGCACAAGCCTTCTTCAAGTTATGTAAACTTAAGTCTTCATGTGGAAATTCCACAAATTCTCTCGGCTGAACAGGCCTATAAGTTTGTTTGGAGTCTGCTTCTGCAGCAAGTCTCTGTACTATGACTTCACTCGGAGCTGATCCCTTCTTCTTTCGACTAGACATTGCATCACCAGATTTCCTTCTTTTGTCGCTCATCTCCCCTTGTAAACGGTCCCAAGTCACTTGCCTTCGCTTCATTGTTCTTCATAGGTATTTGGAAGCTTACAGTTACTAAAAAGATCTTTCGAAATCTACAAGTTCGAAGTGCATTTGTGTGGCCACTTGCGAACAATAAAAAACACAATATTTTGGCGGGAAAGGGAAACATTTCGCGGGAAACATGCAGCTGACCAAAAACGTCGCAGGCTATGAGAATACTGGGCCAGTGACAAACTATTTCAGTTTTAATTTGAAATACTATGAGAACGATGGGCCAATGTGTGGCCCAGTGTTTTCATAGTCATTCTACAACGATATCTCGTTTCAATTTCATCTTCATTTCGGATTTTGGCTTTCGAATTGCTTGTTATTTTCAATGTTTAATTCAAACTAGATATTTTAATTTTTATGTTTTATTTTAATTTTATTTTATCAATAATTCTTTGTTGTTGTTTTATTTTCTTCGTTCTGTTTTTTTATTTAAATAATTTTTAAAAAACTGTTAACTATTTTTGTGTTTTTTTTCAAATTTAGTATTTTTTTTAATAACTTTTCACTTAAAAATAATATAGTGACTGTATTTTCTTATGAGAACAATGGGCCACCATACTCTAAGTCTAAATCATATATTTTCAGTGAGATAATGGCAATAACCGCTTAAATAATACCGCCTTAAAAAACACTGGGGAGAACATAGAGAAGTGAAAAACTCGAGGATTTGGGGAATAATTCCAAATCTAACAAGTCCAAGTTTAACAACTTTCTTATAATTTACCTCTTTTTCTATTCTATTGAGGCTGCTTTCCACGCACGCGTTTTTCATACGCACGTACACACACGGAAGTCTAAATGATTATATATGTTATCTTTGAAAGAGTAAACAAATCAAAAGAATCAGATTTCCACCAATTTTGGCATATAATAATAATGTAAAAGCATTCTTCCGTGGGTGTACCTGCGTATGAAAAACACTTGAAGCCTCGTTGACAAGGTACCGGATTACTATCGGACCAG